TTCTTTGGATTTCACTGGCTTCTGTTGCACCGCAGTTTGCTCTGTGCAGGAGAGTTTCAAATCAGCCTCTTTCAGGGTGAACACTGAGTACGTCAGGAGTACTTTGAAGCAATAATTGGCTTCCTTCCATTTGAGGATTTAGTGGAGCACCTTTCTAGTCCCCAACCTCACGTTGTTTGGGGAAGCAGAGTAACCTGTATTTTGTGCACAACTCCAGAGAAATTCATTTATAATAGCAAAGTTTAAAAAATATCTGTCTGCTCCTGTAAGAGCTGCCCTGCAGTCTGCCTAGGCTGGAACAAACCCAAGGGAGTAGCTGCTCTCTACAAGCAGGAGAAGGTGACAGTGCTCTGTTCTATGAGGATTGTATTTGAGGAAAAGCTTCTAGTTTCTGTTTTCTTTCTGTACTTTTATTACTAGACAAAGTAGATGGGCCCTCAGTTCCATTAAATATGATTTTATACTGAATTTCAGCCTTAGGCAAGGAGGAAAGATGCCTGTTTGCTAAACACACTGCCAAGACATTTATCATTGAGGTTTATTAAACACTAAAGGCAGCAGCATTTCTTTTGTGTGCAAACAAAGTGAATTCAAGGACCTGATTCTTCAGAATATGGATGCACATGCTTAAATGTAAGCACATGATTAAGAAGAGTTTGCTTGAAGAGGGATTTGGGAGTTGTAATAAAAAGTGAGATTAGAGATTGGGAAGATTAGAGGATGAATAGAATGAGTGGGGTAGACTCATCAGGCCGTTTGGGTGGTCTGCTCCTTAATTCTGACTTCTTTTTGAGTTATTTTGCATAGCTTATTTTGGTCCTCACTCCTCCAACTATTGATATAAATTACGTAGCTGAGATGCAGGTGTTCTGGGAAAATACATATCTGATATAAATACCCCCTCGAGGTTGATCTTCCCGTATGAGGAACACGCACGTCATGAGGGCCTGGTTGTACCTGTTTTTCACAACAGACAGTGGCAAATCCAGAAGGAAAGTTGCATCATTCAGATGATTCCCTGGGTCTGACACAAATACGTAGGTCTGAATTGTTCAGGGCTTTCAGCTCCACTTTCTCTTTGTCAGTTATCCCATAGGAAAATCCTTATTTCCTCCCAGTTGTTGAGATCCTGCTTGTGCTTGGCATGCATGACCTGTCCTTAGTGATGCACTTCATGTATCAAAAGAGCTGGGAAAGATGATGCAAATCATTCCCTTCCAGGAGTAGTGATGAACATTAGGCTTGTTTTTATGAAAGGTAAGAATTCAGCAGTTTCTGAGGTTTTGGAATGGTTTAGACAGTGAGGAACAACAGGAAAATGGACTGATCTTTAATGGCAGATCAGATCTCTAATGTCAAAAAGTGGTAAACTTTACAGAGCACAAATAATAGTCGGGGAGATTGGGGCTGAACTTTAGCTCCGTGCTGCTTTAAATGAGTCATTTTGGTTGTACTCATCCTCATCCTTCAAGGCTATCCTTAATTACCAGTGTAGTAATAATACATGGGGATCTTTTGCAATGCTAAAACATTTAGAGATAAGCTTGTATATTTTCAAAGGTTTGAAGGAAGTGATGTCTGTGACAGATAGGAAAAAAAGAAAGCATTTCTGCCCTGAGATCAGAAGCATCCAAGACAAAAAAAGCTCAGATTTGGAAATACAGGCCTCTCTCCTTCATCGGGCTAAGCAAAGTAGGTCTGCGAGGAAGCTAATTCATGTCATGTATATAAAGCAAGTCAAATTCCAGCTACTACAAAGCTTTTATGTAAGACTTTGCTGACCCAATAGGTGGTGGCATATAAATAGATCAACAGTACACCCTTCCTTCTGCTGCTCTGCCTAATCCTTCCTTGCCTTCAGGATTGAAGTGTATTTGATCTATTGAGTCTTAAGTCAGGCGTTGTTTCCCATAAAAAAAAAAAAATCCCCCAAAGCCAGGAGAATGAAAATCTAATGGTGGAAGAGTGTTCTTGTGATTTTAGAATGAGAAACTGAAATAGAGACACACTATTATTATTCCTTTTTAAATTTATCTTAACTTCACAAACTTGCAACAACCCGGYCCTCCGCTGCCCCTCTAGCTACCCCTGCCAGGTGACTCTACATGAGCATCTTCAAAAAGAATAATTGTATTAAATCCATATTAATGAACTTTCTCCTGTTCAATAGGACTTAAAGTGCCCTCTTCATCCTGCTGGCAGGGCTCCGCTGCTGCTCAGAAGATGGAGCACTTTTTATTTTTAGTAACAATATCTCTCATGCTGGGGTGGAAGAATCTTAAACCAATTAAACACATTAGAAGATAACAGTGTGTGTGGGTTTGGTTCAAGATCTCTATTTTCTTCATGCTAATGTACGTCCTAGTACCAGCCTTTTTATCCAAATTGACAGAAATAGTGTGATAAGCTGCTAACTAGGTAAGCAGCACAGCTGCTCCTTTGTCAGGTATTCCCTTGGCAAAAAAGAAAAATCACCAGTGATGAAGTTTGCTTTTTTTTTTTTTTTTTTAATTACGTTAGAGTAGGTTCTAAAAATGATCTAAATTTTGATGTAGGAAATTGTTTGCAGAATTTGTTTCCTTTTAAAGATCAAAAAAAGGAGGGGGGGAGAAGGAGGAGAGGGAAAGGAAGGAAGAAGGATGGACAAAAAGCAGGATGGAGATAGTTGGAGTATGGATAGAGCAGTGGGGAAGCTGGATGCAGTCGCTGGGTGGATGGTGGATGGTCCCACCTGGATGGASCACCACTTCTGGATGGTGTGAGGTGCCCAGGCCAGAAGTACCTGTGTGCCCAGCTTGGTGCTGCCCAGCGTGCGCCCAGGCTCCTCAYTCCTGCTGAAACCAATGCTGAGTAAATAGCAGGTAAACACTTCTGAAAAGCCTCTTTATTTWTTTTTTTAAAGTTAATAAAGATTTTTGATAATCGAGTGCCCAATTTACTGCATGACTGTACCGCTAATAGTCAGGGGTGTTTGCATTGCAGGGCGTTGTGAAGATAAATGAAATTGTGAGATGCCCAGATCGTCTCATTTGTTATTTGCCTCTCACACGTGGTGTTTGATAGACGGCGTGCYGCTTTCTATGCAAATAGCTTCCCTGGGGCTGGGTTTTGTGTTTGTCGAGGGGAAGGTGCATCTGAGAACGCTGGGGTCTTTGGCACTGTGAAGTAGGGCTGGGGCAGTCGCGTCCCGCTGGGGATTTGCGCTTCCCAGGCAGCAGCCACGCGGGGCACGTGGTGCTGCTGTGGTCCCTCCTGCCCTGCTGATGCTGCTTGTCGCTCCCCAACACCTTGGGGAGCTCCCGCCGCTCTGCTGAACCCTTCCAGCTGAGGTGAGGAAGAGGTTTAGGCTCCTGGAGTTCATGGGAGGCACCTTCCTTGCCATCGGCATGAGACTTATCGCTGTGGATTCCCATTTTCTCCCCAAGTGTGGAAGGCGGGGAGCAGTTTCCACTTTCGGGGCAGGATGCAGGGGTAGCATATGGCCCTGTGCCTGCACTCCAAGTTGCTGCCAGGTTCGGAAGCTGTAAGGCCACCTCTCAGTCAACGTGCCCTGCACACACGTGTCCTCCCTGCTCCCCTTGCCCTCTCAGGGCACTCGGGAAGTGCGGCTGGCCCTCAGAAGGAGAAGGCTCCTCACAGCAGTTCGGAAGCAGCCGTCTTCYCTTCGCTCCTCTACAGGCAACATTTCACAACACGTTACCACATAAAMCAAAATTTGCTAAAGCCTCCCAGGAGCTTCAGAAAAAAAAATGATCCAGGTGAAGAGTTTGTGTGAGCCTGCATAGAAACTAGGTATGTTAGAGAATGAATTAYATATGCACATCTCTGACAGCTCCTATTTATACCTTTGTCGAGGTCCATACTGCCTCTTCCTCTGCCTTCCCAGTCAGCAGTTCCTTGAGCAGCTGCTGCTTCTCCCTCTCCCAGAGAATTTCCAGGGTTTTGTCCAAGGGGCTTCCTGCCAGGCTGCGCTGAAAGCTCTGTACTGTTTTTCCCCCAGTCCTTTTAGACTCTGCTGCTTCTCTTGCTGTGGAAATTCGGAAGTTACTGAGCACAAAGGTTGTGCTGCCACAAGCGAAAGAGGCCTGAGGACCAAGGCCTGGCCCTGCTGCCAGCGAGGAGCTGATTCGCATGCCCTTGATCTCACAGATCCTGCTTTATTTAGACTGCCTGTGCTTATAGTGACTGCTCCGAGCCGCGCTAAGCTGGGCCAGGAGCTGCCGCGGGGCCTGGGCCTTCCGGAAGGAGCCCCTTCCAAACGGGACTGGCCAGGTGGGCAGACCCCTTATTCTGACGTGGAAGCATCGGAGTCATAGAACGGCAGGGATTTTTCAAAGGAATGCTTAAGATCTTCACTAATTAGCCCTTGGAAAACCGGAGTATTCCTGCCTTCAGAACTTCCATGGCTAATTCAGTGATCCAGGCTTCTGGGAGGCTGGCACAGCCCCGCTTGGCAGCAGGAGAGAGTTTCGCCTCAGTGCTCTGCAGCTGAAGAACCCCGGTGAGTGCGAGTTACCAGGTCAACAACAGAACCACCACTGATCTTATTTTTGTAAATTAGGAATACAAGTTCAATCTAGTATTACTCCTTTTCCCACGTCATATAGGAAGCACTTCTTTTTTTCATTTTCCCCTTGGGAAGGGGGAATGGAGAACAGTATTTGTGTAGAAGTGTCTGTTGCTGTTAGTTCTTGCCTGACTGCAGCCCGGTGCCGTTGCCTTTATCCTTTAGAARCAGTGGGAAATGATAAATGAGGTTAACAAGCTCCAGTCTAAAGGGGAAACTGAATCTGTGAGTATACAACTCTTGTYGCATTCATCCTGGTCAAGGACTGGTTTGTTCATTTGTTTTCTAGGAAAAACCATCTCAGGCTCCTGAGAATCGGAAGATGAGTGTAACTCGGCTGGAGTGGCCGATTTCAGGGCTGCTTAGCAAAGAATTGTAAGCTCGGTATTTAGGGATGGGGACTCTTCATTTTCCTTAACTGCTTCCCACTCAGAAACTGGATGAACCTCCGAGATGCAGAAACAGGGAAAATCCTCTGGCAAGGAACAGAAGATCTGTCTGTACCTGGAGTGGAGCATGAAGGTACCGGGTGGCCTTGCTGTGCCTTTGGGGCCGGGTGGAGCGGAGGGCGCCGCTGCTGCCAGCGCGGAGGGACAACCCGCCTGGCGCCGAGGGAGGCCGGCACCTCGGCCTGGGCAGCGCAGGGGAGGCCTCTTCCCTCCTACACCTCTCCACGCTGTCCTGTTTGTGACAAACACCGTGATGGGCAGTGTCCCCTGCCAACAGCCTTGCTTTGGCTCTGCGGAGTGCCACCTCACTGAAGCTCATTCAGCCTTTGAAGGCTTTCCTGATACCTGAGTATCATCACGCAGCCAATGTCCAGCACGTGAACTGGAACACTTAATTACACTGGTGACATTGATGTGGCTTTGGTTAAGCATCAAGGACTGAGTGCTGCCTTGCAGTATTTGGTCCTGCGTCTTCTGTAAGTTGGAAAATCTGTGTCTGAAGGAGGCAACCAGCTTATAAAGATGCTTCTATTCCCAGAGAACCTACAGGGGATCTGTGCAGAACTTTGTGAGCCCAGTAGAGTCCCAGCAAGACCCCTGGTTTCAGAGCTAGCTTAAGTCACAGGCAAATTCATCTGCGTTATGAAAAGAGCTCATTATTCGGAGCAGGAAGATGTTCCAGGTCCAGAGTGACCTGATGCTGGAAGTGGAGGGTGCAGGTGAGAGCAGGAGGAAGGCCGAGCCGCGACACAGCGGCTCTGCAGGGCGTCTTCCAGCCTTGGCTCCTTTGGCCTGGCTAATTGGTGCCCCTGGTCCCATATGGGTGCTGCCTAACAGGAGACAGCTCTGTCCACGCACCTTAACAGGGATTACTCGTGCCCATGGATGCCTGCATTTAAGGAAGACAGTGCAGCACTTTCAAATAGGACTGTGCTGAAGGCACCGAGACACAACTTCCAAAGGAAACGAGGTGATTAACGAGTGTGGAACCTCATTCCTTAAACTGTGGGCCGGTTGCTTTACCATCTTGAAATCAGGGTATAATTCTGAGCATTGGTGCCCAGAGCAGCTAAAAAGACAACTAGGGGGAATGAGGAATCAGGCTTTTGTTAGCAGGAAAAAAAAAATCAAGAAATTTTCCCATTCTTCCCAGATCTTGTGTTATTAAAGCTTCCCTGGAGGCAGAGCTGGTTTCTGAATGGTCTTCACTCTGTCTCGGCTGACAGTTACATGGCCTTGGTTTGTCACAAACTACAGGAAGGTGTTTTGGGAGAGTGGGTGGTTGGAGCTGTGTCTCACGAGTGTTTGTTTTGCCCTGTTTCCCACCTGCAAATCCTGTAACCTCCCTGTGCCTCGGATTTTGCTCCATACAAAATAGGAACCCTCACCTCCATCAAAGGAGCCCGGGGAATTAATTACAACATCCTTTGGCATGAGATTAATGCCACTGTACAAAGAACTGTTAGCACCTTATCTGGTGTGCCAGCCTGGCCATCCATCTTCAAGATGTATGTCTGCAAACTGCAGCAGATGCAGAGAAGAGCTCTTAGGAAAGGCCACTGAAAAGATCAGGAGGAGGAGGATCTTCCCTGAGAGAGAGGGGACATTCATGTATAGCACAGCAAGAAAATTCAAACCAAAATTCAAATTCAAACCATCATATTGTATTAATACCTAAACTGACTATTACCACTTACACCAAATAAAAAGAGCATTCATGTGGTATAGGATTGCTGATGAAGTTTTAAAGCCAGGACACTGAAAGCTGTGACAAACCCCTGCCTAACACCTGAACCTGGCATTTCCTGGGCGCTCGGGCAGCTCTTTGATAGAGGAGCCTTCCACATATCCAGTTTTCCCAGTTCAGTGTCAGTGCACTCAGAACTGGCACACAGTCTGGGAAATGCAACACAGTCAAGTTTGGGTTTTTTTTCCAATAAACCAAGCTACAAGTGGCTGCTGAGATCCCTTGCAGCCAGATCCGGCTTGTTTCTAGTCACCACAGTGAGCTCTCGTTCATGAAATACAAATTGTCCTTCCATTGACTAGGAAAATACGTAGCTTTAAATACGAAAGGTGGCAGGATAAACTAGCTTTTTTCTTCCGTGACCCAAATATTTAAAGGTAGATTTAATTATCTAAAAACATAATGATACTGATATTTTAATTAAATTCTGTTTTCTAGCTAAGTGCAGTTTGACCCCAAACCAGTCATTTGGTAAATAATAAATGTTCCATTCATCACTTTGTAATCTAATCAGAATTACTACCTGAATAAATGTGTGTTAGTTATATACTTGCTTAAGTAAATTGCAGGTATAGGCTATGCCCTGGCTAACAATAAACAGGACTACATTTAGGATAAAGTCTGTGCTTACATTTAGCATGTTTTCATGTCCTAACCAGTGAGAGTCAGACTTTATCCTCCTGTATCTTTTTAAAAGAAATGATGTAAAAAAAAAGTGAAGTGAATTTCAAATAAATAATTTAAATAGAGATTTTTCTGCAGAATTAATAAGAGTTGACACATTCGMCCTGCACAGCAGTCTCTTGGCTGCGTGTGACCCTCAGCTCGCCTCCTGGTGTAATAATTGAAACCAAATCTTGTATTTTGACTTGAGGATTTGTGAGTTTTAGTAGAAAATGGCTGCGAACCAGGAGTTTGAAAGCCCGGGTTGTGCTCCTGGTTCTGCCACAAGTTTCATTCCTGGCTGTGGATAAGGTACCCAACATGTTTATATCTCAGTATCACCAGCGTAAAAAGAAAGCAGAGGGGCTCCTTTGCGCCTGTATTTCTCCTTCTGCCATGCTCCTGCACTGGCACTAATCCTTATTTCAAAGTATAGTACAAAAGCCCTTGAAGCAGCAATGTTGGTTTTACTGTGCCCAAAATAATGGTTGCTTATCTGTTTGACAGCTCGAGTTCCTAAAAAAATCCTGAAGTGCAAAGCAGTGTCTCGGGAGCTAAACTTTTCCTCAGCAGAACAAATGGAAAAATTCCGCCTGGAACAGAAAGTTTATTTCAAGGGGCAGTGTCTAGAAGGTAGGTGTGTGCTGAGCGTGCGGGGACACGGGGCCTGCCCCGCTAGGACAGGGATCACGGGGACTAGGAGGGCTGGAACGTGGCGGGCTTAATTTTTCAGAGTAGCACTGAGGCACTCGGCAGGACTAATGGGCCACGGCATTAGGCAGAGCATTTCATAAGTGTATTAACACTTAGTTATGTAAGCAAAAAAGCTGGGTAATCATGCTGCAGGGCAGAAAGCCTCCGCAGGCTGCCTAGGGCTGGGAAAGTGGCTGGTTTAGAGGCGCCCAGTGTGGGGATTCGTGTCTTCCTCGGGAGCACCTCGTGCTTGTCCCCAGCAGCAGGAGGTGGCCTGGGCGCTGCTCTCCTCGAGCCGTGGAGTGGCTGACTCRGGCACGGAGATAGGTTGGCTCCATAGCCACGTTTCTGGTCCCCTCCTCTGCAGTCTTAATTACAGGGAGTGGGGGAGATAAAACAGGGAGCTTCTTGTATTTTGGGAAGCGGTTGTGCACTTAATCTGAACTAGATCTGGGGGATGTCCAGAACAGGGGGAACGTGATTCCCCAACTCTGATTAAACCCTGGCGGTTCCACTCAGTGCTAAGGAAGCTGCCTGACTACTGCACTTAGACAGGGAGCATCTGCCTTAGGAAGAGGGCAGGGTTCACTGCAGTTTAAGCTCTACCAAATCATTTAAATGTAACATACTGGCAGCCCAGTAGGGCAGTGCAGGGAGTTCTCCAGCCTGTCAGGTGAAAAGCTAACGGGCTGCTTGTGGGTTTCCCCCCTTTCACGTGCCTCTGGATGTTCTTTTTACTTTGCAGAATGGTTCTTTGAATTCGGTTTTGTGATTCCTAACTCCACAAACACTTGGCAGTCCTTGATAGAGGCAGCACCTGAATCACAGATGATGCCAGCTAACGTTTTAACGTGAGTGTCTTGGGGCTAGAGAATCCGAGAGCAGGCCAAGGAAAAGCAGTGCATGACATTTCCTCGCGGGCCACGGTGGGAATGAGGAGAGGGAGCTGCTCCCTCTGCTGATTCAACCTCACTAGTGCTAGCTCTTGAGAGATGAAAGGGGCTAAGCCAACCTTATTACCTTCTTTCCCATAGGTCCAATTTGCATTAATATAGCAGTAGAAAATTGGAGAAACTGGAACCGATCCTTTGTCAGAGCTGGTTTCTTTTTTTGAAAAGTGATCTGTGAGAGGATTTAAACATGCTTTGCAGCCCAGTGCCCTTTGCATCCAGGCAAAAAAAATAAGAGGTATTTGGGCCATTTTCAAATCCAGCTACTGATAACTGAATCTCGTTGAAGGTGGGTCTTATTCAGGTGATGTATCACTCATTGGAGTTGCTCTAGTGTTTGTTTCCTCACGGTACTGTTTTGCCATCTTTGTGTCTTTTACACTGAAATATTAAATGAGTGTTTAGTTGTATGGCATTGTATCTGGGGATAAAAAGAAAAGCCCCTAACAACTAGAAAATAGGGTGTTTTGCAGTCACCTCTAGCGGGACTCACCCCCCTTCCTCTGATGCACGCAGCCCGGGCTGCTGCAGCGCTCTGGCTTCGGGAAGGTCATCGCTGTCTGCAGGCCTGTGGTGAGGGCAGCGCSTGCCCGAAGGAGAGCTGCGACCCACGAGAGGAAGGAAAAAGCTCCTTGCAGGAGGGAGGCCCCTGGGAAGCTGCTTTCACTGACCAAAGCCCCTTCCCCGCTGTGGTGCTGCGTGGGTGCTGCTAGACCCGCGAGGAGCGCGTTGGCAGCAGGGGCAGAAGGGAACAGGCCTCCTGCTGCCGACACGGAGCAGTTGCAGAGCAGCCAGTGCCYGTGCAAGGTCGCTGTGGCCTCGGGAAGACCTCCCTCTGCAGCCCCCGTCGCTGGAGCAAAGCCAGCCCCAGAGAAGGCTGCGGGAAGGCAACTCTCCCTCATTCCGATGCACAGCACGTGCCAAAGAGACGGCAGACTCAGAGGAGTGCATGGGTGTTGGAGGAGCGCTCCATGGCAGAACCTCAGGGATGCTGCACGCATCCGTGGCTYCTGGAGCTGATGGCTTTTAGTCAGTACCAGCAGAGATGGTTTTCGGAATCGGAGTGAAGAAAGAAGACATCTGACAGGTTGGCCCGGATCATCTCAAGGAAGTTGAGCAGTCTTCTGGACTGGGCTCTCTGAAGGTGACAAGTGACCCCGGGGCTTTTCCAGTTTCCCATTCTTTCCCTGGTGTCTCTACGTCTCTACTGAGCAGCCCATGTCTCGCAGATTCTTGGAGGTCTTCTAGAATAGTTTTTGAGGGCTGTTCAGTAAAATCACCAGCCCAAAGGAATCCAAAGCGTTTTTGTAGCCCAGAGATACCAGCTTTCAGCTGCTGAGACTTGCAGACCCGCTCACCTTCTGATGCTCCCAAGGACCTCGTGTTTGTCTCAGTGTTTCCTCAAGAGCAGGAGAAGATGGAGATGTGGCACTTGGTGATAAACAAGGTGCTCCACAGAGCAGATTCCCAGAACAACTGGGAACATCCAGTGAGAACATTCCCCGACACCTGAGTTTGAGTCTGTAGCAAAAACCTCACACTCTTCCTACAATCAGTGTTACAGACAACAAGAGCCACAGCAGAGCTGCCAGATTGATTTCCAAAAACCAGGTTATTTAGGCAAGTTCACCCAGGCTGGTGAGAGCATTAAAATGAGCAGTTTCTACTGTTTTGTGCATTCTTCTAATATCACTTCTTTCTCTTTTCCCTCCACAGCGGTAATGTTATTATAGAAACCAAGTTCTATGATGACGACCTCCTCGTAAGCACTTCCAGAGTGAGACTTTTCTACGTTTGAGATGGGGCTTTTTGGGGCTGTTTTAGTTTTCCTCCATGCAGTTCTTGGTGCAGAACCCCCTGACTATCCAGTGGAAGACACTTCCTGTAGGCGGTGACCCTGGGGACCAGCTCAACGTGGGTTGTGACCTTTGCCCATCCGTTCTTTTGCTTTCTGCTCCGACAAGACCAGACCAAACCCTCAGAGACATGGCCAGCTGCTCAGCGAAGGGTTGGGGAATAAAGACGGTCTCTGGAAACGGGCAAACAATGGTCATGCAGAACCAATACTGTAAATTATGTTAGTCTCATCCTTTGTACTTCTCTGGATCTTGCTGTAATCTCCCATTTCCACTCACACCACCTCTCCGTGCATTTTGGTTTTTTGGGAATTAAGTTAATCTTTCCATTTCTCATGGTTTAGTTTTTTATCCTTTCACTGGATTTCTGTGTAACTGGTCCACATGTCCTCTTACCCTGAACTTGTAAAATAGACTGTGATATCACCTAATGTAATTAAAACAAATTTCTCAATTAAAACATTCCTACCGTCCAAAGAAGGGCACAGATGTAAGTTCTTTTGACCCTGCTGCCCAAGTGCCTCGTGTCACATGCCCCTTAGCACTTAAGGCAGCAGCAGAGCCGGGCACAGCCTCRCATCTCCCCTCTGTCTTTGCTGACCTTCCTTTCCTGACCATGGGCAAGGTTTGTCCTTGGCCCCATTTCTGTCCTTTAGTCCCTCGGGGCAGTTTGTTCTGCCTGAACAGAACAAACTGTGGGGCTGGTTTCTTGGCCAGCGCTGAGCACCACTCTGCTATTCCCAGTTCCAGGAGACACTCCCAGCTCTGCAAAACCTGGGCTCTCCTCACCCGGCCAGCACAGTTTGGCCTTTATGATCACTTGAGACCTTGGTGAGCCTGCCCTGTGGCTGGCCTTGAACATCTCTGAGGAATCACAGGGAAATTAAATGCATCATTTCAGATCCTAAGTTCAGACATTTCTGAAATGCGATAAAAGGGAAAAAAAAAAKGTTCACAAGCCAGGCTCAGCTGCGCTGCCTTGCAGGCTACGCTGTCTCAGCCCATGGAGGCTTTCACACTGCTTAAATGCACGGCTGTATTTTGATATTTATACCCGCGACTGCGRCAGGGCACACGAGCACTTGGCCTCAGCCACGCGCCCGGGGAGCTGTCCCCTTTGACAGGCTGGGCTAGGACACGGTGCAGGGAGCACCTGAGCGCAGGGACAGCGCGACGCGCGCAGACTGCAGCCGCAGCGGCCTCGGGCAGCGGCTCTGYCCGGAGGTGCTGCCGGCCCGAGGCACCCAGCGCGGCTGCAACAGGGCCCAGGGGAGCGCGCAGGGCRCCAGAGACCTCCAAGTGCCCAGGGGACCGGCCCGGCCGCTCTGCAGCGCTCGGGGACTCCAGTCACCGCCCAGCGCTCCCTCCCTCCCTCCGCGCCGGGCGCCACTCGGGCAGGGCCTATGGCAGAGGGGGG